TCCTTTTCAACCCCCTACCACTTCGCCACGCGTGGAATTTATATTTGGTACGCTCATTGATAAAAAAAAGTAGAAGACATAAAATAAAGCAAAAACCTGTACAAATTAAAGCTTTCGTGGCAAAGTAGAAAAACCCTAATCAAAGAAAGAAAAAAAATCCAATAAAAGAAAGAGTAGAAAACTAGAAGGGATGATGTAGATGCTTGAGTCGAAAGATTGCGCGACATCTCGCTCGGTTGGCGAGTGGCATTTTCAGCGGTGGTGGAAGCGCCGGGCTACAACGGTCACTAATGCACTGTTTCAATTAATTACGGGCGACGCTTTCGGTTTTCACTAAAGCCAAGCATCCGCACAAGAGAGGGAAAAATCCGTAGAGTAGAGTTCATTCATTTAAAACTAACTATTATTTCATGAAGTTAATTATTGTTACTCAAACATTTTTTATTATCAGTTTGTAAATATGACCAATTGCTTTGTTAAGTAGCAAAGAATGCTCACAATCTTACATAATGCATAATTAATTGCAATTAGCAGAAAGCGAACGAATTCAAACTCAATGAATACTCAAAAGAAACGCAAAGCTTGAGTCTGACAAGTGGAAACAATAAACCTATTCATGATCGCCGCCGCACTTCGAATATGAATTGCCGTAATCAGCGAACGGAAGCCGAGCGCAAGCAACAATGTGAGACACAAAAGGCACGAATAAATATAAGTAGATAGCGGGCCACAACAAATATAAATATACTGCAGGACGGGGCGGAATTAATGAACGAGCACTAATTGTAAGAACACAAAAACAGAAATCCTGGCGAAAATGCCAAAGCAAGAAAGTAGCAAAGTGATGCGCACAATTTCTAAGCAAAAGGAAACTTTGTAAGGATTATTCTAATAGCATTATCAAATTAAACGTAAAATAATACTTTTTTCATTTGTAGATAAAATAATTACAATCCAAATGTAATAATTCAATTATACTCACAAATACAATAAAATACTAATAAACAAATTTGTTTTAATAAATTGACATTCACAGAATTCAGTTTATTCTATTGACCACAACTCACTTCACATAATTGTCTGTCCACCAAACAAATTTATATTGCGCTGTTTTTGAGTGGTTTATTTCGTTATTTTGTAAATATGTCATCGATGTGAGTAAATTTATTATCCAAATTGATCATTATGCACTCTATTTTAATTGAATAAATTATAATTTGATTTATATCAGCGTAATTGTCCAAATTGTGTGTTTGAAATTCAAACAAAAGAAACTATAATGAAATTAAAATATCTAGTGGAGGCGCCGGGCGACTGTATTGAAATAATGTGTAGTATTAATATATTTAGTAAATACGTCATCGCTCAAAGTCAATTCGTTAATAGAATTTAATATTATGTCCACTAATATAATCCGATATAGTTAAAGCTTGTTTATTCTATCGATTTCATCGTAATTAAACGTGGATTGTGTTTCGAATGGAAACGCAACAAGAATGTATAAAGTTTCGAAATGTTTGTGAATTTCTGCGAGTAGTTCTGCGTGCATGGTAGAGCTCGGAGAGTTTTGATACTGCACATTCAATCAAATTAAACTGGACGAAAATTCGTAGGAAAAGTTGACACAAAGCAAAAACTCCCAACTTTATATTTAATTTGCGAAATTGAAATTTATTTAAAAAGCAGGTCAATACTTTTAATTTTAATTGTATCTCACCGCGCATCTGCTCTAAAAGTCTCAAACTTTTAAGTGCTACTGTCCGCCTTCCTTCACACCAGAGACACATGATGGCCGAAAACTATCCCTAAAAGTAGCAAAACCTCCGAGAGAAACTAAAACTTGTAATGTCCTATGTGCTAGCGTTACCTGTGATACTACTAGTAGTAAAGCTTTAAAATGTACGCAAGGATAGTGGTTGGTTGTGCATTAAGAAGCGTACGCGCTGCGAAGCGTATGAGATATACGACTACACGAATATAGCTACTACGCGGCTGTAAACCGCGTTGAAATAAACCGAGAGAAGTCGGTAGTAGTAGTGGAGAGCTTGTTGGAAGGACGTCGTGCCCACGTGGACAGCGGCGTCACGCTTCACACTCTCGTGCGTTTGGACGCCTTTGGACGCATATACGAGTATGTGCTTCGTTTACGAGTTTGCCCATTTTCCTATTACGCTGATGTATTTTACGTGGCCGAAGATAAAGCTTCGATTTTATAAACTTCCAAAGTAACGTAACAACTATAAAATTTTAAAATAAATATAAATTCAGTTGAAAATTTAACCAAAACAAAATTATTTTTCATTTTTGCATAGTATGTTGTTAAATAGGTAATATGAAACTTTTAAAAATTTATTTCCACTCGGCTGTGTTTTGTCTATTTTATTTTGTATTTAAAATTATAAAAAACACACGACTTGAATTATTTTTAAGCCCGCTTCGCGTGAATTCCGACAAATAGATTCACAGATGTACGTAAAAATTGATTAAACTGCAAATTGCATCATCTAGTATTAATTGGTTTTTCGGCCAAATTGAAACAATTTCGTGAATAGCAACCACGCGCATGCTTTTAATTAATCATCTCACGATGCGTCGGAAAATCCGACGTTCCATTCGGTGGGCCATGGCCAAAGCAAGCAAAATTGCCAATAGAGGAATTCTACCCGCAAACAGTGATTATCCGAATTTAATTGGATTAAATTACTAATTATGCTATTTGTAACAAACTATCAAACCGCATGACCGCAGGGTATTCCACAAAATTCGAATAAACAAACACATACATACAATATTAATTTTTTTTAGTAACACTAAATATTTTCTCCTCTGTCAAGTTTCACGGAATGACTGGCAGCACTCGAGATGAGAAGGAGATCGGTCCGTCTCTCTCTCGTTATAACGAGAGGGGTATACCTGCGATCGGCCTCGAGAGGCCTCGTGACACAGTTTCTGAACATGTCACCCGACTAAAACGATTTTAAAGACGTTATCACGTCAAAATGCAGCAAAATATAATGGATTGTTTTCAACTCATACTATGCAATATTCTAACCAAAATATATAGGTTTGTAGAATATACAGCTAAATTAATTATTCTCACGAGTTTGCTCGGTCGCATATTCCCTCCGCGCGGCATCAGCAACAATTTCACGCGTAACATTTTATTAACAGTGATGTAATGGCAACGTTAATTTAATCAAATCGTTAGCACGTGCGTGCATGCAGCTATGCAACCGCGCCCGCAAACGCGGTCCTTGCAACATTGACAAACAAGCAACATGGATGCAACATATTGCACTAGCTGATGCATTAAATTATTTGCGACCAACATATTTAATAGAACTGCTTATAATTAAACAATTTAATTATCTAATTTTTCACACGTTTGTAGCATTTTCTGTGACCAAAAATATAATTTAATGTACTTAATAAATAATTTAAATCTAGCGAAACTGAGACTATCAATCAAAGTGGATGTATTTCAATAATCAAAAGCTGTATGAAAGAAAATTTCCCTTTGTTCATAATTAAACTCGTCTTTACGGAAATAAACCTTCGGATATATAATTATTATTATTAATACTTCAATGTGAATGTACACGAAACATATGTTCTACGATTAGAGTAAATTGATATAAACATCAAAGAGAAAAATAAACAAAATTATTGACAACGAAGCACATTTTCCAAATGAATAAAACATAAAATATGTAGCTTGCAGATACAAACAAAAACTAAAAAGCTACAATTTATACCTTGTCACATAATGTTTACTTTGCTCGTTCGGCATGAGGTGCGCGTATGCTTTATCTCTAATAAAAGATTTTTCGCTTGCTAGACAAAAATCTCGAAAGGAGCACGCGTCCTAAAGTTGATAGCTTGAAGGCGTCGGCCACTGGTCACACCATTGCGGCAAGTCTGTGTTTGTGAAGTTTTGCGCGAAGCACAAGAACAAACAATACTGTGCTTTGAAGACGAGCGAAGATAAGGTTTTTCCGCTTTTTCTTTTCATTTTTGCTTTTGTGTACGTTTTTCTTGTCATTTTTTGTTTGTTTTTAGAATTGAGACGGACACAGAGACTTTGGGCACCGATTCTCGAAGGAAATATACCTGTCCAAGCAGGTTTTATACTGAATGTTAAAGAAATCAACAAATATAGAACACTTTTACTAGTTTTTCACTTAGAAATCATTAACATTTTAAAATAGAGAAGAAAATCATTTCTGATTTAATAAAAGTGATTATAGAATATTCTTTAATACAAAACTTTTGTTTCAAAGGATGCAAGGTGAGTACCTAGTCGTATCCTTGAATGCTTTTTACTTTCGGCCCAGACTGGACACGATAAAGGACGACCGGACTCGATTTATCTGGAAAAGTGCTGAACGAACAACTGCACTCTTCGAATCTGTACGCTTTGACTCAATGTAACCCGTCTCCAACTGCGCGTTTTCCTAAAATTTTCAAAGACTTCCACAAAAGCCCAGCTTCCACTCTTTTTACTTAATATTTTATTTTTTGTCTTTTCTTATTTCTTCCCTAGTATTTCTTCTTTTTTGTTTTTTCATAAACAATCATTGTCAGCAGATTGCTCATACTTATGTTCAGGTCTAGTAATACAAGACCTCGAGGAGATTTCATTTCGTCCTGCTCGTGACTTTATGCCGCGCCCTTCTGTTTAGCTTTCTAGCGGATTTTCCACGTCGGGTCGTCATCGAACATCATCCGAACGACGATCGTGCGTCCTTATGTTCTTCACGACTCAGCGCGCCATTGCATCGCCCCCTTGTTTTGTTCGCATGTTATGGTCATTGCGACAGTCATTACGCAGGGCGATATCGCCGCGTCGGATCAAAATTGAACGACAAGGGTTGTGCCAACAATAAAAAAACAACAGCGCACGACAACAACAAAAAATCCAAGAAAAGCGCAATAAAACAATATAAAAATAAATTGAATCTTATACAAACGCGGAATAAAATTGTCAAAGGAGCAAATACCTTAATAATCCTTTAAATTATGATTCAATCCGTTTGTAAATCCTTTAAATCCAAATATAATCCAGCAATATTATAGCGGATTTACCTGAAACAAACAAAAATTTCATTACTCTTCGATATTTCTGCTTAGTATTGAGGAGCGGGCACCGCGTCCGCATTGCCAATCAAAAGTTAAACAATTGTTGTTCCGACGCCCGGCAAACAAGTAAAACTTATTCCATTATTCCGATGCGGGAAGTACGATTACCTCATCCCTCTTGTTCTTTTTGTTTTCGCTGCGTCCTGCGGTTCTGTTCTGCAAATATTTAAGTTTGCAGCCTGCCCGCTTGCGGATGAACACGACAAACGCGGAAGAATTCATCGCGGGTATTGTGTGAGTTTTATGAGGAGATTGCAGGAGCGAAGCGAAGACTACGGAAGCAATTGGATGAAGTAAAATTTATTTGCAAGAAATTGCGAAAACAATTTTTTAATTGCATTACGCCTACAAGAGAAAACTCAGACAACTCATAAATATTGAAGAGAATCTCAGTGAAATAAATAATTAAGTTATTGAATAATCTCCAAGAGGGACAAAGTACCTTCAACAAGAAATGTAATAATAATTTAAATGGAATACAATAAAATACTACGGTAATTCAATATGAAGGATAGTAGATAATTGCTGTTTGCAACGAGAATTGCCATTTCAAAACACGTCCAACCACAAGTTAGCCGCGATGGCGGAGGCGCCGGGCGCGCAGCGCGACTAATTGAATACGCAAATGCGCCAATTGGCGAAATGGCGGCGGCGGCAGCGGTCGCAGGTCCGGCCGATAAACTGCACGAGGCGCATTGTGTCGCGTAGATCTTCGCCGATGCCAAACCGAGAATACAGATTCGCCTCCGGCTGCCAATGGTGGTAATAAATTAGAAAACCGTAAATTGATACCGACCACGTTCACCAGCACGTAGCGAAATGCCAAGTTGTAAATGTTAATCGAGGGCAGCGTCGCGGGCAATTTAGAAACATGTAGATTAATAATATAACCCAATCGATATTAGCCAGAGGTGAAATTTAGTTAATCAAGCAGGTAAACAATCGCATCACTTTGATGCATGAATTGATTTGTAGGCAATAATAATTTCATACATCTAGATATACATAAGCTTAAAAAAGAATAAGAAATATATACTTGCCAAAAATATTAAAGAGAATAATAAAACTCAACATAAGGAAATTTCGTACAATGATCACGTGCGGCACATTTTTTTGACTGAAAAAGTTTCCACTTTATATGAATCTTCTTTTAACGTAAGGCAAGACATTTTTTTGTTTTAAGAGCTAATATTGTCATATTGCGTTATTACGAGTATCAATTCTCTCAAGTCTTCTTTTTTATAAAACACAAAGAGAATTTAATATTAGTAATTTAATCAGAAGATTTTTTTAAATTTAAATTTAGTACAACATGAACAAAAAGGAAAACTCCGAAAAAACATGACAAAATTATCAAACACACTTTTAATATGATAGTAACCAATTTAAGTTAATAAGTTTATTGCTAATTATGAACATTGCGATTGATCTTAAAGATAACGATCAAAGTTGGTCCGCAGAAATTTGGGTATTGCTACATACGCGTAATTAAATCGATCGCAATTCCTCGAAGTAGCTTGAAAGCAGATTGAACAACTTTATTATCTTGGGAACAAAGGCGAATTTATAATGAAGATCGTATTCCATGTTCAAGATTAATCTACAAACTACAAGTTGCGAACAAATTTCACGAGATATCAAATAATGTCACTCACTTTTTTCCAATTTTTATATAAATATAATCAATTATTAAAAACTAAATGAACACGTTATGAATGTTGGCTAAAGTACGTAATCCAGTGAAGTTGTTCGCGCGTGTTATCCAAAGCATCAATTACGATTTATTCTATTATATCGCAGTGAAAACATTTTCGTTCGCCGCCTTCGTCGCCGCCACCGTTCGCTATTACTATGCTCGGACAATTCGTCATTTTTATTAGTTTTATACACGTAACCGAAGGAGTGGATCATTATTCAAGATGATTAATGATCGCGCACTGGCCGGCCACTCAGTGCTAGGATGGTGGCGGTGGTGGCGGCGGCGGCAAGCCGGAACGCCCATTCATGATACATCGTTGGAAAATACTCGCGCCTAGAAGAGTGCTCTTTATTTTTAGGCAAATGCTTTTTTTCTTCTTTTTTCGGTTCGACGCGAAAAACAAACAAATATTGAATCTGACGTTTCATTTTTTTTCATAATGCTTCTTATTTTATAGCTTTTGATAACATTAAATTTGAACACAAAATGACTTTATTTGTATTCTTTTATTTTTAACAGGTATGTATAGGTAAAGCCAAAAACGAAAAAAAATGTTGGTATTGTTAGAAAGCTTGAGGGAGAGCGTAATGGAGCTTTCCGTAGATTTATTGGCGGCCGTTTTGCCCGCAAATATCCACGAAATCCACCGAGTCGAGCCGCACGCCGCCTCCGCCGCCGACGCCTCTCGTCATGAAACGGTCATACAAGTCGACGGTGAGCACGAACGCGCGCACAGAAACTGCCAGCACAATGACGTCTATAAATGCGCTCGACGGATGCATATGCCGCCCCCACGGCCTCCGGTCTACGTCCCTAACAATATGTATTTCCATCATCCGCGTCACCGGTGCACCGCGCGTGTACAACTCGAAATATACAGGCAATTTCAAAACAGATTCTTTAATCGTTAAATAAACATAAACATTAAACAAAATAATCAGTTTATCACTATACAAATAAATATGCAAACATTGGCAAATATTTATATGGAAATTTTTGTTATGATTTTATTTATTTTTTAATCTTTTAGAGTAGCATGTGAGCAAATAATAGTTTTGAAGAAGTGTACGGACTTTAGTACATATTCCAACGGACGAAAGGGGCGAATAGAGCAGCAGGAAACCGGATGTTGAAGGCGACGTGCGGCGCATTCGTCATTTTCGGCGGCGGTGCAGAAAATGACGCGATGCTCGCCGCACGAACTGGCACGAAAGCAACGAATTGCACTGCTCGACCGCCACACGTGTGTGCAAAACGATGCAGTCCGCCCGACCCCGCCGCCAACACACTTAAAATAAAGTCAAACATCTTTCTAAAGTCTTAAAATTTACGTTGTAACTTTTTCGCTTTTCATAAAATGCAAATATTCACTTGCGAACTCTAAAAATAACTTAAAACATCATTCTTTATATTCTGTATATTCTGAATTAATCTACCTCCTTATACCATAGAATTTTAATTAGTAATTATCGATTAATTACAAAAATTAATTGACTCGATAACGACGCGTATAATTATTTCGCCGGTGCGGTTAAACGCTCGCATCGATAAAACTTGGTGAACTTTGCCGCTGGCGTGGTGGTATGTCGTTATCGTCATCCCCAAGTTAAACATTTGCTCGTCTAACGCACCTTAAAAAGTTTAATTGCTTCTTCTTTGCATTGCCCGTGACTTCCGCTTCGGCTCGCACTCATTCCGATAGCCTGATAGCACTCATTCATTATAGCCACGAAGAACGCAAAAAGCACGAAAGCTGCGAGGAACTTCAAGGTTACGTAGAAGGATGACTTAGACAAACACTAGATGAGGTTTTCTCGAAAGTGAAAGCTCTTAGGCGACTAGAATGAATAGAAGCTTGCTGGGTTTAATTAAAATGATCAACCAAGCAGCTAACAATCTCACAAATCTAAGATGCCAACAATACAACAACCAGAAAATAGCAATCTATTACAAAGTTGGGAGTACAGCTCAAGATTACGACAACGCGGAAAAGTTTAAAGGCTTAATTGAATAATGTAGTTTATTTAAAGTGAAATGAACTTGACAACTTCGAAAACTTACAAAGCTTTGAAAAATAATATTAAAAGTGAATTTCCGAACAACTTTATTATCAATTTTATGCGATATGACTGATTCGACGTAATGACACACTCAGACTTTACATTAAAGCCTATTTAATCTAGTATTAGCTTAGCGAGCAACTTGTAATGAGCAAGTAAATATGACGGAAATGACAGCTGACCAAAATAGTGCACGTTTAAGTCTTGACGAAATCGAAGCGCTGTTTAACGAAAGTGTTCAAGCACTTTTGAATATAGCCACAAGATGTGACAATTTCTCTCAAAGAAAAAGAATTCCACCAAGTCCACCACCCAGAACACCAAAACCTAATATGGGAATAAATTCAAGTGCACAAAAAGTCATGCCAACAAAAGAAGACGTAGAAGTAATCCAAAACAACGATTTGTACACTAATTTGGGAGCACCAAATGATAATCATAACGAAGCAGTTCCCAAACCACCAAAAATAACCAATAAGTAAGTACTAACTCTTCCTAAATTACTAAATAATAATAATGTTTAATTTTCAAGGTGTGGATATATTATTAATGAATTAATTACGACCGAAGAAGATTACATCTCTAAATTAGAGTATGTGTGTACTAATTACAAGCAGTGGTCGCTTGATAACATCGGCGTGTTCAAAACAAGAAACTTGTTCAAAAATTTTGATGAATTGTTTATGGACAGTGTGGTATTTCTTCAAGATTTGAAATCTCATCAATACACTGGTGATTGTCAAGATATCGCAAAACAATTTATTAAAAACGTATGTTTATCAATATGGAATTTATCATAATTTATTTTACTATGCTTTTGTGTAATTTTTAGATATCATTATTCCAAAAATACACAACATACTGTCGTAATCAACAGTCTGCGGAAACGGCTTATCAGAACTCCCGAGATAAGATTCTTGTATGTAATTTCTACGAAATTTATTAATTCAAGTACTTCAATTTTTATATTTGTTTAATTCAATGATTACGACCAAAATGCAATCAAAAATAGTACACAGCGCAAGCGCATTGGCGTTATATTTAATTACTTATTAACTTAGAGTGATAACTTTGTGTTTTTTGTTTTATATTTTAAAATATGTGTGAAATATGATGATTTATGAAGTTTGATAATTTTTGTCAGGAACGCGAAATTGCACTCGATGACAAATTGGGCCTGCACACGG